GAGTGCATGTGAGCTGCATCATTGTAACTACTATATGAAAGGTCAATATAATATAAATAATAAACATATATATATATATGTATAATGTTATGAGATTTAAGCTATTTAGTCTAAACATTTATGCAGATAGAGCTGCAGCTGGTTTGGTCCTTGCATATACATATTCATTTTCAGGTTTACAGAAAATTCTTCTAAAACAATTTTTTTAAAACCAGTTCTTTGAAATAACAGTTAATCGAATGTCTAATTTTTAGATAGATGTTTAATAATAAATTAATGTATTACAAGAAAATATTAGAAAAAAGGCATATAAATTACCTTTTGATGAACTTTCAAAGTGAAATGGACCAATATTATTTAATACACAAGGAAAGGCATACATATGTAAAAAACGAGATATTTAATCACATCATGATATTACAATTTTATCAGACCATTAAATAATATAAAAAAAAACACCAGTATTATTTATCTTAACGATGTAATCATAAATAATTCATGTTATGTGCAATACCATGCAAGTAATCATTCATATTATTTGATGATAGAAATGCATCGACAAATCTTTTTAATCTCTCTGCACAGTCACGATATATGTTTCTGACTAATACAAAGTTCCTGACCACTCAAAAGTTGCTCAATATGTAGCTCGTTCAGACTTTGTTCCCTCTATCACAGAAATGAACTTCCATATATTTGGATGATTTGCAGAAATATGTTGTAAAAAACCACAATGCCATCCTTCTATAGAATTGTTAGTTTTTGGCAAGTCCTGCTGCACACCTTTCTAGCAGTTCCACATCTTAAGCTTCAGTCAGAACGTCCAACCCAAGTATCCTCAAAATAATCAACCACAGGTTAAGACTTGGGTGGAAAAATGTTTTTATCAATAAGAAAGTTAAACATCTCTGCAACCTGGTCTGTAGGAATATATTCTAGTGCAAAGAACATGTGAATCTTTAAAGTGAAGCCCATCTGTGCCATATCTTTGCTTGAGGCCATTTTCACTAATTTTACAATAAATATACTGGCAAAAGTGCCCACAGTTAACTGCATGTGGAAATTCAGTGTTAATTCTATTTATCATTGCAAGTTCAGTTAGTATAGACATGGGAATTAAGGCAGATACTGACTCCTTTATCTCTAAGAAGTATAATATATGTATTTTAATTTTTATTTGCCAACAATGCATAAATTAAAGGAATGACAATACTTCCTTGCAGCCTGTGAATTGTATGTAATTGTTCAAAAATAATTGGAATGGTCTTAAATGTTTCATCAGCATACAAATGATCACAACTTGCTAGTAACTGTAGGCTACTTCTTGTACAGAAAATCAATTTTTGATAATCTGTTGCACCATAGTCAAATGTCAAAACTATTTTCCATTTTCAGTTTTAGTGTATTCTTCTGGAAAAACAATCTGATAATTTGGAGTAACAAACCCTAGATTTTGTTTCCCATGAAAATTGCGAATAGTTCTTTTTATGTTGTTTACAGATGGCAACTTAGTTGCCACAGCTTGGCTGAGACTAAAGGACGTGAGACAATATAATACAGTGCATCATGTGCATTCTTTGAGTCATTTTGTATGCTGTGCATTATATTCTTAGTTTCAATACCAGTGGAATTGCCAGAATGGTTGTGCTTACGACATAGCTAATGTTATCGGCAGTTGTTATCATATGACCTTTGCATTTTTTTTCAAATTTCTCACATTTCCAATAAACTTTTCCCTTTACTTGTTTGTCTTTAACAAATATCTGTTCAACTCTAACTTTGGTCTGCCTTTCTCATTCTCAACAAAATTTAACATTTTGGGGGAACCAGTTTGCAATAAAATTGTAATACCTTTCTTGATACAGTATACACACACAATGCACTGTGTACAATCACTTCACTGTACCATTTGTATATGTCGGACCAATGGCCAGTCAATGGCACTTTCAGATACACTTCTCTGGATGTTTCAGATTATCCAACACTCCTCAGTAGTGATGGCAGAGACTAACAGATCAAAACAATTTTCATTTCTGTTTATAGTAAAACTGCACTTTGGTCAGGGCTCTTTTTTTTTTCCATTTGAGCAGTGCATCAAAGTGCCACAAGTGTGATACTATGACTGGTATATCAAAGAACACTGCCAACAGATCACTTCGTCACTTTCTCAGCTGACGTGTGAGGTCCAGGTCATTGACATTATGGGGTGTTATCGCTTGGCCTGCATTGTGGCCTTAGTTCTATGTTTCTGCACTTACGGGAATTAAGATCATACAAACATTATACAGCCAATGTGGTATGTGAAAATTTTTAGTGAACACATAATGCTTGTGAATGTATTTTTTGAAGAATTGTTATCGCTAATTATGTAGTGAACACGTAATGCTTGTTAACATCTGAAGAATTTGCTGCATGTAGTTTTGGATTGTTATTTCGAAGAATTTTTTTCAAAGAATATACCACATACATCATTTTCCAGATGTTTTATTTTGTCATTGAATTTCTTTTCTACCTCATTGATTTCTTTTTGTATTGCTTCAACTTTGTTGTTATAATGTCTCTGTACTTCAGTTTTATTGTTGTACTCTCTCTGTACATATAACAAATCTAAATTTCTTTGATCTGGTCTTCAGTCAAATTAATTTTTGTTCTTAATTCTTCTTTAAATCTTACATCTTTTGACTCATTTCTTAAATTTCAGTTTCTTACATCTTGATCTTTTAATTTTTATCCTAGTCTTCAATTTTCTGTCATTCTTTTTTTTTAATTTTTAATTTCTTATTTTGCTCTTTTAATTTTCTGTGCATTTCTTCTTTGTCTGTTAATGTTCTGTCTGTTTCTCATCATCTACAACAAATTATCGATCTCACTTCAAGCACGTCATCATCTAGAAGTTTACTCTAATTCTATTTTTATCAAAGTAATCCCACTTCTGATCTCAGTGTTCTAATGGTTACTGTGGTTGTGCATTTATTTTTGTTTATTCAGTAAAAAAAATGAAAAGTCCAGTTCACTTAACAATAACAAAAGTTTTTTTTTTACTGTAACATAAAAGTTCTACAGGCTACATTCATTGATTGAGCAACTCACAAATAAAACTGATTAACTCTTTCAACCCAGGCTCGGTACGTGGGACTGACCTCGAAACCACTGTGCTTGTTATAGTTTTCATGCTATAACTTTTCAATTAGTAAGCGAGTATTAACGAAATTTGGCAGTTTATCAGTAAACATTACAATGCTTTTATACACAAAATATCTATTTTTTTTTATTAAGGTTTATAATACAATGTTTCTCATTACTTATTTTCTTTTCACATCTTGCCTATCTATCATGCAAAGTAATTTTCATATTAACATTAAAAATACTTTTATGCATCAGAAAATTTCGAAATTTCACATGCAACATCTATAATGTCCAAATAGTTATCAAATATTTCTTAGGAAAAAATTTTATATTTTATCTGTTATTTTCAGTAATTAATCTCTGAATGGGTTCAGTACAAAGTAACTTGTCTTGGCTGTGTTTTAGTCGTTTATAAATTTACATGTCAGTGGTGCAACCATATCTATGTGGGCTTTACAATTCGTTGTTTGAGCTCAAGAGTTAATAAGCATGCACTAAATACACTATATAATCAGTTGGCCATTATTTGCAAGACTGTGAAATTAGAATTACAACCAATAGTTTCAACATCTTGGGAAGTCCGGCCAATGAGAAGATGTTCTGCATTAAAGAAAGCTTGTAGATACTCATGGTTCGTCCTGAGTTGAACATAAACTAGTATTTTGTAAAATACAGTTACATCTCAATTATTATATATGTATATAAATTATTGCTATTTTGAAATAAGATCTTAAATTAATTTTTCCTAAAACATAGAACAGTGAATAAAGAAGTAAAGCAAACAATTATCTCTTCTAGTTCCAACTTTTATACTCGGTTGCTGCTTGATATAGGTTGCTAAGCCTTTAAAAATTTTGCACATGTAAGACTTAAAACAAAATACTTTTTTTTATGTTTTTTTATATATAATTTTCAATAACTACAAAATCATAAATTACTACATCAATACCATAGAATTCTACTATAATTTATCAAATGTAGTAACTAAGCTGTATTTGAGTCTAAAAAAATATGAAATTTCGAGCAGACTAAAGACACAACCTACTTCATTGAAATCTTGATTTAAAAGAAAGAAGTGATGCTAGGTACATTAGAAAGGCTTAGAAAACCACTAGGGGACATTCTGAGCTTTCGATTGGTTATTCATGTCATATATATATAGAAGTAAGTGTTTATAAGGGAGTTTTTCCAAAAATGGAAGTAGGTGAGCAGGGTGCCACTATGTTTGATTTATTATGAGAGCAATGTCTTAGCAAATAGAAAAGATAAGATCTTGTTTTATATTCTAGCTTGTCAATATCTGTAATTTGAGTTTTTAATTCATATAAAACTATAGACTAAGTATTTTGACTTCACAAACGTCTAATTTGAACCAGTGGTGCATTCAATATACTACGTGACACAAAAAATCAATGTTTATCTGTGTTTTTTAATATATGCATTTAAATTAAGAAATTGAGTAATGTATAGTTCTAAAATTTGAATTATAATCTACATTTTGATACCAAACTTATTGATATAAATTCATGTAATTGTAGTTCAGTAAAATTTTTAATGTGAGTCGACAAATGAGATGGCATGGCTTTTCGCCTGTGACCCGTTTGAAAAGGATTAACTCACTGATTTACTAATAACTGACTGCCTACTTTACTTTCTCACTCAAATGTTTTTAGAAATTTTTCTTTCCAAAAATTTGAGATTTCATTTCAAATTTAGACATACAGGAAAATTCAAACAGGTTATCAATGTGTCATGCCAAAACTCTCTCTAGCAAACAATGCAAAACATCTAAATTAAAATATTAAAAATATAGCCTACAATAATAACACATGAACAATAATATACCAGTTTGGTCCTTCAAGGCTGTTATTTTATGTCCACCATTGAAAAAAGTAAAAAAAATTAAACCTACTCTTAATCCCTTCAAAGTACTGGCCTTCCCTACTACTGATGGCAACTCATTTCCATATAATATCTTACCTCCTCTTACAAAATAGCTTTTCTCGACCAGCACTGCCCTCTATTGGCACAAATTTTCAACGTACACCACTAGCCTTCCACCTCCTGCTTCTGCATATCCACATGCAAATGATCATGCAGCAGCTCTTCACCAGTAGGAGCGAGACAACTCCTATCGTAAGCAGTGCTCTATTCTTGTCTGCACTCATCAACAACCACTTCTCGATTGGCAGTGGTACTGTACAGATGTGCTGGTTTTTGCTCACAGATTTGTTGATTTTTTTTCCATTCTACTACTGACTTAGTTTTTCTTTACTATTTATTGACATTTTTGTGTTTTGGTATTGTGAAAGTTGCTTTTTTTAAAAACTTTTCATACTTTTTCAGGGCCTTTTTGCTAGTGTATTGTGGATCTCTCTCTGTGGCAAGTGGTGCCTGACCAGGTATACTTTTTTTTTGAAAATCCACTTTGTCCATATCATGATATAAGACTGTTTAGTGTAGACATTATTGATTAATTTATTTTGGGAGTGAATATTTTATTATTGTTTAATTGTTGTTATAATAAGAGTTAAAAGCAGATGATTGTTGTGAGACTATCAAAAGTTGTGTGCAATACATTGACATCGAGAATATAGAGATTTCTAGAATGCCAGACGATTAAGTGATAAATAGTGTGAGATGAGCGACAACAGCAGACAGACAATAGCAAAAGAGAGTAAAGTTACAGGCAAGGAAAAGTTTGGCGTGAAGTTAACTACCGTAAAAGTGATAGGCCTAATGATTGACATAGGCCTAACATTTAGTATGTTAGAGTGAAACTAACAATGGAAAATGAGATAAGAAGAAGAATTATTCTGTCAAAGCATGGTTCTAAAGAATTGAATCAGCCTGAGTGCACTTTGACAAAAGGAACAGAGGATATTTAGAAGAAAGACCAATGATTATGGTAACTCGCACCAGAATTGTAAGTGAATCACACACACAGAATACTAGTAATAGAAAAGATAGTTCGGTTTGTCAACTGAAATTCTAAAGTAATTGAATAGGCCTAAGTAGACACCTACTGCAGACTGAATGACAAATGCCCACTGACACCAAGTTTTGGACTGGAGATGCCCCCTAGGTTTGCAGTCTCTCTTCCTACCATTCGTTGGTTGTTGGTTGTAGCTGGATGCAGCACATTTTCCCACTTGTGTATGGCCAGATATCCTCCTCCTACTGCAGGCTGGAAGTACCATATCCATTTCTGTCAGGTTTTGGACCAGAGATATCATCCCACTGGGGCTTTCCACCTTCCTACCATCTATTGGATGTCAGTTCCCAGCAGATCTGGTGTTGGTTGTGTTGGAAATGCATGCAAGTGAAGACAGATTTTGGTACAGAAACTCATCTTCCCTACCAATTCCTGTCTCGAGGTGAAGTTGTAGGTAATCCTCTGCCTATTGAGGATCTGATGTACCATTCCAGATACCGCCTGGTGTTGGATAAGGTCAAACTACTACTATGGTTTGTCGTGCCCTAGCCACTCAACACCCAGGAGTCTCATTCATCGGTCATATATATTTGGGACACTGTCATAAAAGAGCGAAGAGTATACCTGGATCAGAAGTGGTGCAGTCTTCTCCTGAGGTGTGATGTTTTCTATTTTTATTCCATACCTTCCAGTTTCTCTTTAGGTGTTTCCTAAAGGGGGATCTTTTTATTTATTTTCTATTGGCCTGTGGGATTCTAGCTATTTTGTGAGGGGAGGTAAGATATTATATCGGAAGTTAACAATTTCCTACACTTAAAATGTATTACTGATAAATACTTATTTTTTCTCACATTTCTCTCCCAGCATCCCCACATCCCATGATGTATGATAATTTGCATGTGGATATGGAGAAGCGGTAGGTGGAAGGCTAGTGGTGTGCATTGAAAATGTTTGCCAGTAGAGGACAGTGCTGGTTGAGAAAAGCTATTTTGTAAGCAGACATAAGTATCTATTGGAAATATATTTTTAGGAAAATGCTAACTCCTGTTAGAAAAATAAACCTTAAGTGGAGCCCAGCCTGTTATTTCCAACTCTTAAACTTCTTTCCTTTCATCCTATTATCTTAAGAATATAGCATAAAGAAGTAAGAAGTCTTAATCCCGTTGATCTTCCAGATATTATTGTGAATTTCAATAAGATTATTCTTCTTTCATTGAGAGAAAATAAGTTAATCTAGCAGGAAGTTTTTTTAATGAGTGATTCACAAAAAATCCAGTATTGACAAGTGCATAGTTGCCTTTAACTTTCTAGCCTTAGCATATCCATCAATATTGTAAATGTTTTTTAGCTGTTTAACCCACAAATTTTGATTTGTCTTTATATCATTCACTACTGATGGGGTTTATGTTTTTACCTATTACAACACTCGTGTAAAGAAGTGACCAACAAATTGGATGAAATCAGTCATTTCGTATGTGAAATACATAGAGGATGTCAATAGTAATTACTGATTAATTACATTATTGATGCTGTTTTGTTAATCTTTTTCTTGTGACCTATTAGAGAACATATCACCAAGAAAGTTATGAATCTACATATGTGGTGCATAAATAATTAAAAAAGTGTGTTTAAAAAGCTGACAGCGGCACTTGTGTATCTATTAGTACTTCTAGGGTTAAATAGTACAAGAGTTGAGAAAAGAAAAGTTTCCCATGATGTACATCCACAGTGTGTTAAGTGATATTTGATGTAGGATGTTAGTAGAAATTATGTATTTCTTTTTTGTACTTGAGTGTTTCTTTGTGTGAAAAATATAATTTAGTGCAAGTAAGTGTATAGGTAAAGGTAAACATAAGAAAATATTTTATAGTTATACAAGCAAAAAACATTTGCTGGCATTCAGCTTAAAATATAATGCCAATTCAAACTTTTAATACATTTTGCATATTCTTGAGAAATTAATACTCTATTACTAATTATTTTATTTTTATTATTTGTAGGCAGTTTGTCTAGAAGCAATCAAATATGTAAGTATGTTGTTTTGTTACTATTTTATGTAATACTTGTGAATATTATATGACATTTTTTATTAAATTATAAGTTACAGCAGGCACAGTGTTTATTGTTAGAAAGCTTATGAACATTATTTGGTTATAAATACTGAAATGCTAGGAAATATTTAGAGAATGAGTTAAAGAATGGTTAACATTTTATACTTGTGGTATTTAAACTTACAAAAGACCAGTGTTGATGACACTGTCTAGATTGCTCAAGCCATAGGTCTCTTGTTCTGTCTAATTTTGTAACTTTGTTTCCAAAAATACATTGTGGACTTTCCAGCCGAGCAAAGCATAAAAATTGGAGTACAGGTGCTCTTTGCATATGCACTATACATATTAAGCTGTACCAGTATGGGAAGTATCCAATATCAAGGAAAACTTTGTCTGTCTGTGGATACATCTTCTCCTTAAAAAGTTGACCAATCCAGACCAATCTTAGCATGCTAACTTAGTAGTTCAAAAGCAAAACAAATTCATTTTAAACCTTCTCATATATTGAAAAATAAATATATTTTATAGAGTAACCCATATATCGTTACTGCAGTAGCTATTGTAAATAGTTGAGTTTGAACCACACCACAACAAAATTCTACAGGTCAACGATTGTAAATAAAATTTTCAGAATTTAGACTTGTTTTCCATAATAATGAATATCCAGTAATAAAATATTCAGCTACAATATGGAGAATAAAGATATTGGTGCTGTTCAAGTTTCTCACTCTTTACTGATTCACACCATTTAACTTTTGATTTATACTAGTGTTAGAATAAGTGCTTAAACCTGAATTAGAGAAGTATCTCATAATTAAAATATTTTAGGATATTTCTTACTTCTTGATGTACAATATTGTTTTTTGTAGATGTAAAATTCAAGATTATTATTAAATTTAATGCATTAAATTTACCAAATTCAGATAGTATAAAGCTTGACCACATCTCTAATGTGAAATGGGCTGCTTTGAGCAAGAAGTGATGCAACTTTTTTTTTGTCATTTCCTCCAAGTTTCTCAACTGGATTGCTTCTTCACTTCTGATCTACTTCCCTTGTCTTAGAACAATTTTCTTGGAAAATGAATGCTACTGAAAATTCTTGCAAAGATTTTGCTCATTTTTAGCAAATTTATGTTTTTCATGTTTTCAAGAGAAAAAAAAAGTAGAATTTCATTAAAATAATCTATAAAACTTTTAAGGTAAAACATTTAAAGTGCATTACAAGAACTTCTAAAAGAAAGCCCATTATGGACTGAGAGTTTACTTTTACTTGTAGACTTTCATCATATCTATTGGACTTTCACCAAGGGCATTGTTGGGTATGCCACTCACAAAATTAGTCAGATATCTCATCTATTTAATTTATTATATATTTGTCATATTTTACATTCATTTATTTAATATTATCAGTGTTAGTCTCAAGGTTAGTCCCAGATAGCCAAGGTTCTCTGCACTTTAAAAAAACAACTACCCACACAAACCAAACAACCAACTATAAAAAAAAAAACCCTTGTGTGATAAGAACACTGAAGTGTAAAAAGAAAAGATTTAGATGTGACTATTGATAAAACCTTTAAAAATTGATGGATATTTAGTTGTGTTGAAAAGAGCAGATAGAGTTCTTACAGGATCTTTGAGTTTTAAGACAAGCAGGTTACTGTAGCTTCTACATTATTCCAGTTCTCTTAATACAGAATTGATATCATCATCACATAAAAATGTAGAGATGGGCTTCTAGAATGATGCTTTGTCTAAGTGATTTAAGTGAGAGGCATAGAGTTTTGGCTTTTTTAATTCCCTGTAACATGGAAAAATAATGGGAGAACTTGATTCAGGTGTTCAAAATGTTTAGGGGGTTTGGACAACCTTCCAGTAGGTGGTTTGTTTGATTGCTGAAATGAAATGGATGGAAACATAAACATGAAAATTTTGAGTAATAATTTTCAACTTTGCATGCCTGGAAGAAAACGTGTTCTTAAACAATATTTTTTTTTTTGGTTATAAACTTGTAAAATGGTGTACCTGACAGTGTGGTTTATGTGCTGTTGGTTGTAAAACTTTATAGAACTTTGTTGGGTAAGTATTTGTATATGAAGGTTCAGGGGTGACCTGAATGGCCTTTTGTCACATTGATTTTTTTTTTCATTTCTTGTAAAACAGAAAATGTTGAAAAACCATTGCTCTGAACTTAGAGTTACTTGTTTTAACTTTTTTGTCTTGTACAGACATTTTTTGGGGAATTTACCATAAATTGTAATTTTGTGCAAAATCTTTCTGCATGTAAACTGATTTAAATGAAGCTAAAATATTAAATTTTTTAAGTGAAATTTGATGTAACTTTTTGTAAAAGTATTTTAACTTAGTATATCATTTCAGTTAAGGTTTTATCAGTTAAATGAGGACTGAAATTTCTGAATAAAAGAGATATTGATAATGTTTTGCATGAGCTTTTGTTTTTATATTTTGTTCTTTGATATGTTGCTGAAGAATTAGATGGTTGGAATACTTATGTATACTTTTGATATACCATTAATAGGACTCAGAATCGAAGCAGTGGTGGAACCAAGACTTCTGGAAGCAAAAAAACAAAGACAGTTGTAAAGAAGGACAAAGACAAAGAAAAAAAGAGGCGAGCAAAGTCTTCTAGTAGTGATGATGGTAAAAGTGCAAGTGACAGGTAGATGTATATAGTTTGAAAAAAATTTCAATCATAAGTGTATAGTTGTCATTAAATAAAACACATACTGTTTGTAGTGTTGGTATTTATTATAGTATTAACAGACTTGTAGTAGGCCCTTTAACCCTCTTGCAATGGGCTCAGCCAAATGCGTGACCTCAAATTGACCTTAATAATTTTCATACTATAACTTCTAATATGTTTTGTGTATCTTCATGAAATTTTGCAAGCTTTCAGTAAGCATTAACCCTATAATTATGGGCACCCCTGTACTTTGCATGTCATGAGATTTTACTTGGGATTCTTGACAGATGTCATGCCCACTTTCAACGCACAGAGTTGCAGTTGCTCAGCTAATTATACATAGCTGAGCTAGATGTTTGTAACCAATAGAAAGACCACATTTTGAAATACTGTCTCCCAACAGTTAGCTTAAAATTGGCGGAAAGAATTCCATAGAGAGCTTGTCAAATGCTCTTAGCATTGTTTTTGCTTTTCTCATTCCTAATACTTTTGAGTTGTTTCTGACCTATAAATATGTTAGATAGACAATTAAATTTTATTAAGTTTCAGTTTTATATTTTAGTTAGTTATGTTTTAAAATGCATATGAGAAAGGCTTAATATTTTTTAAAAATATAAACCAAACTGCTTCAGTTTATCAAGCTTAGTGTAGTTGGCAAATGTCCCAATAATGGTTAAAGTGTTGGATGACCGTATGAAAAGAGTTAACGTGCATGTTATGTGGTTAGGATTATATACTTATGGTTCCATATTTTGCTGATGGTTCAGTATTGTTCAAGATAATAGTAATTGTATTTAGGTTAAAAAGTCATACTTGTACATACATGACACACACAACAAATTGATAGCTATTACGTATGTAAGATAACTATTTATGTATGCTCATTCATCCAGAAATATTGATAGCTAAAGATATCTATATAATTGCATTTGTGTAGTGTTTTAATTTTAGATAATCCATTCTATTTATAATCAACAGGTGTCTAGGTTATTATGCAATAGTTGTCTGTCAGTATAAGGCCATTTTGTAAGTCATGTCATTTCAATAAGCTGGTACATTGATTAGCTGATTCATAGTGTTATGTGAATCAGACAACCAGGGTACCAACATGATGATCTTCATAGTTTTTGAAGCTGTTTTTTGCTACTCACATTGATCAAATAAACAAGCAATGTGATCCCAGATGATGAAATGCAGATAAAAAAAAAGTGGTGTGAGGCTGTTAAACCCATTTGATAGTTATTTTAGAAATGACTAATGATAATTTGCAGCCTATTATTTCTAAGCCCATGAAACATTTGAAAAATGCGACAGCTGCAGAAGGTAGATCAGTTTTTGATTGTGATAAAGACTTCTTTTCCTCTAGTTTAGTAGGCCTAAAAAGTTCCAGTCTAGGTGATGCATTGAATTCAAATGGATTGTCAAATTGTTATAGACTAATATGAGAGAGTATGAAAGAAATATAAGTTAACTAGTACTTAACAATTTAATTATAAATTGTAAGCAATAAAGACTGTTTAGTGTGGTATAGTGAGTAATCAAGACTATAATTCATCTTGATAAACAACATTAAAGTTTTAGCTACTATGTGTAACACCATATGCAAAATGTTAAGAGGAGCACTGTGTATGAGAAATGTGAAGTGGATTTTTCATATTATGGCATACATATTTGTTTAAAATTCATTGATATTTAATGGCTGATTGTGTTTGCTCATTTTTAAACTGTAAAAAACCTAATAGTCCAGATAAGATTTTGACATAATGAGTGTTTTATTTCTCAAAATAAACTGCAGTGCTGAAAACTTGGGTATTTTTGAAGTTGGGGACTTTGGAAGAGAACTTTCACACACATAATTTTATTCATCCTAACCTTACATACTGCAACAAAAGTCTCATTATTTATCACATAATAGATTTAAAACTATATCTGTTATCCCTCACTTTCCTCAAGTTGTATGCTAAATGATTTCAGTTATCTTTCTGCTTTTAAGAACTGGTCACATTTGTTTTGGTTAAATGCTTAAACCTGTGTTGGAGTATGTGTGTCTAGGAAGAATAGTTATTTTTATTCTGTATTGATTATATTAATTATACAACTTGCACCGAGTTAACTACCATGCCACAGAAAACAGTTGACTTAGTATAACTTATGTTAGAGTTGAATAAAATTATAACTGAAAGATGGAATGCTCAGATTTGTGTTAGATTATGTATGGCAGTATAAAGAAATTTATGCATAATTCAAAGCTATGTATTAATTTTCAAGGTCAGTTTTTACAAAATATACATACTTATGGATACAGTATTGTGAACCATAAGCACTGGATGATACACTTTTTGTTTTAATATAAAGTTTAAAAGTTTGTTAAGTTAAAAACTAGTGGGGAGTTTGAATCATGTAAGATATATTACATAAAAAGTTATTGATCATAGATATGTAGATCCAAGTGTGTATTATATGTATACTGTCTGACTGACCATCATATGATGGTAAATGATGATTAATTTCTTCAAAAGTTAATCTAAATAAATGGTTTTTGAACATTTATTCTAAAAACTATGTTATAGTAACAATGGTTTTTGAACATTTATTCTAAAACTATGTTATAGTAACAATGGTTTTTGAACATTTATTCTAAAAACTATGTTATAGTAACAATAGTTTTTGAACATTTATTCTAAAAACTATGTTATAGTAACAATAGTTTTTGAACATTTATTCTAAAAACTATGTTATAGTAACAATAGTTTTTGAACATTTATTCTAAAAACTGTTATAGTAACAATGTATGTATAATGAATGTTTATTCGTTTTTCTAGTATTTCACAAAAACATTTTTTGTATATATTTGGTCATCTCTTGTAAGTAGCATTTCATTATAATTTTGACTTATGTACTTTGACTATTTCATGTTCAAATCTTGATAAAGTCTTATAGTTTGAACCATGTGAAAAAAACTTATTCTTGAAAAAATATTCCAACATGGTCAAATGTCTGACCCTGCAAGTTATTAAATATGATGGCAAAGGCAATGAATTTTATCATGACAGGCAAATGCAGAAAGGTATAACTTTTTGTAAAAACTGCTTATAGAGTCTTTGATGAAATTTTTGAAAGCATTTTATCTAAGGTAAAAAAAAAACATTAGTAATAATGTACTGTAGCACTATTTATTAGATTCAAAAGATATTTAAGGTGTTTTTTACAGATACAGTCACTGGTGTTTATAATGTAATATGATGTTATCCCTTATTCAATCTGTAATTTTACTTGTATTTTTCCAAATATTCAAAGAGCTTGTTGTAAATATGATAATATATAAAAAATTAACATAAAATACCAACTCAACTGAGATTTGAACATGGGACCTCCACATGATAGAGGAGTGCCATAACCACTATGGTAGCCAGTCTTTGTAATCAAATGCTAACAAATAACATAAATCCCTAATGTAAAATATCATGTTATTGTATTTTTTCCTAATATTGTAAAATCTTGCTCTAAACATATGTTAATAATTAAGAAAGTTTACAAAAAATCCCCATTTTAATCCGGTTTGAACATTACCAGCAGAAAGCTAAGCATTACCGACAATGGGAGTGTTATGAATAGAGAGTGGTCTATATATATATAGATATATATATATATATATATATATAGATATATATATATATATCTGTTCTATCTCTTCTTCTTCTGTGTTGTGTATACCTTTTCTCAAGCTCACTGTAGCTGATATAAGTCACTATTTGGTGAATTTTTTGGAAGAATTAAGGTACTTAATTAGAGTGCTAAGTTATTGTAAACAATATTTCATTATTAAAAAACCATATTTTAAATATTTTATTATTTTTAGCTCACGTAGTAGGTCCAGATCCTCTTCATCTAGTGTAAGTAGTTCTAGTTCTAGCAGTGGAAGTTCTTCTAGTTCCAGCAGTAGTGGAAAATCACATTCAAGGTCTCGATCCAATTCTTCATCATCCACATCTTCATCTTCGTCTTCTGGATTACCAAAACGTTCAACTTCTAACCGTGATCAGAAAAAACGGCCTTCTTCAAGGTAAATGTAACATCACTTAACCAATTATTAAAACAAAAGAATTCCTCTATTTTAGTGTAGCGTTTGATGCTAAGTTTTGAATTTTTAGATATGAATAGCAACCTTAAACTATATTTCAATCAAATAAGCATGATTCAAGGAAAAGAGATTGTTTTTTAACTTGAAACTGCTGTAATTAGTTTTATTATAACTACGAGTATCCAGGTGAACAATAGATGGTCCTATATGTTATTTGAATTTTGTTGTATTTTTTTGTAGTTTTTATAGAAAAGTAGTCTAAATAGTAAAACTTGGAAAACAAATTACTCAGAAATATCCTGCATAGCTATAAAGTGCTAAAACAGATGAAGTTTTAAAAAAGGATAAATCACATATATAGTAAAATACATATTTTAATGTGCATGATATTACATACCTTGGTTTGTCCCTGATTCCCAGTTTGCCCCTGAAGAAAGGTCCACCTTTCAAAAGCATCTTGTATTACATACCTTGGATTTATACTAACCCTTACGTATAAATATGATTTATGAAAAATTACCCTTCTTCAACTTGATCCAGCTCACATTGTAATAGTTATTGTCATGTAATTTGTTAATATGAATAGCATGTCAACAACTACTATGTCTTTCTTATCCCAACTGGCCTGAAAAGCCCTGGTATTGGACAAAAGGCCTTGCTAGCACTGGATATAGCAGATATAGTATAGTTGACATATTACTATACACTCTTTACTTTCCTGCAGAAGATCTTATTGATAATTAGATAGACTGCCACAGTCAGGGAAAGACTGAGAAAATTTTTTAACAATGGAGATTTCTAAATATGTTTTGTAGACATGTGTATGTGATGGTTAAAATTATATTTTAATATTGCATTTTAAGTGAAAAAACGTAGTACCTTTATTTTTCCAGCTCTGTCAAGTGAATTGAGGCAGAATTGAGTATGGAAATCAGGGTACAGGAATTCTTCACATATACACTATATATATTAAGCCATACCAGTGTGGTAAATATCCAATATCAAGGAAAACAGATGCTGTTACTGCAGTAGCTATTGTAAATAGTTGAGTTAGAACAAACACCACAACAAAATTCTACAGGTCAAAGATTGTAAATACAATTTTCAGCATTTTGACTTGTTTTCCATAATAATGAAAATATACAGTAATAAAATTTTCAGCTACAATATGGAGAATAAAGATATTGGTACTATTTAAGTTTCTCACTCTTTTCTGATTTATACCATTTAACTTTTGGTTTATACTAGTGTTAGAATAAGTGCTTAAAACCTGAATTATAGAAGTATCTCATAATAAAAAGTTTTTTAGAATCTTTCTTACTTCTTGATGTAGAATATTGTTTTTTGTAGATGTAAAATTCAAGATTATTATTAAATTTTATGTATTAACTGTACCAAATTGAGACAGTACAAGTCTTGACCACATCTCTAATGTGAAATGGGCTGCTTTGAACTAGAAATAATGCAATTGCTTAGCCATTTCTACCCAGTTCCTTGACTCCACTGCTACACCTCCTTAATTCTGATTCACTTCCAAGAACAATTTTCTTGGATAACGAACGCTGCTAAAAATCCTCACAGAGATTTTGCTCATTTTAGCAGATTTATTCATGTTTTCCATGTTTTCAAGAGAAAAAAAAGACGGAGGAGTGCAGTCTTCTTAAAATAACCTGCAAAAGCTTTGATACAAGACATTTAAAGTGCATTACAAGGGCCTCAAAAATAAAACACATTACAGACAGAGAGTTCACTTTTACATGGAGACTATCGTGGGATTTGTTGGGCTTTCACCAAGGGCATGGTTGGCTGGTCAAAAAATTAGTCAAATTGCACATCTACTTAATGTATATAGTTTCATGATTGAAGCTTTGAATAAAGTAACAATTATGATATAAGGTTATTAAAAAATAATTGAAATAAGTCTTTTAGTCCATGAGTTATAAATAGGTTTGTTTGCATCTAAATTGTTTGTGGTGTTTGCCATAGAAGATATAAAGGAGACTTGTTATAATGCTTATGAACAAGAACTTGATTTGCTTGTTTTAACTTGGGTACGGAACTTTGTACAGAGTCTATCACTTTGCAATAAAACAAACACTGAAATAAGTAAATGCTTTTTACTTATGATAATTCTTATCACTATACCTTGTCTCCTCAAACAAAGAGCTAAAATATCATTTTGTGATAAGGTAGACTAGCCAGTAGTGTATATGTAGTTCACATTTTTATATTGAATATTTTGAAGAAAGTAAAGTGTTAAAGGTAAAAGTGGTACAAATTTTTTTATTAATTTTGCAGGTAAACAGTTTAATGTATTCTTAACAAATGTTTCATAAATTTTTTTCCTTTATTTACTGATGTTTTGATAAAATATCAAAGAATTTAGATTTTAAAAATACAAGCTGGTGGCAAACTCTCATCAATTTGGATGGATCTTATATGTGTAGGTCACCATCTCCAAGAAGAAGAAAGCGTAGCCCCACTCCACGACCTACAAAGATTCACGTGGGTCGACTAACCAAAAATGTCACTAAGGAGCATGTGATGGAAATTTTCAGCACATATGGAACAGTGAAAAGTGTGGATATGCCAAAAATTCGACCAAACAGTTACTTAACAAGAGGGTTTGCTTATGTCGAGTTTGAAAAATCAGATGATGCTGAAAAAGCACTGAAGCATATGGATGGAGGTAAAAAAGAATGATAATCTTAATCAGAGTTTTTTTATAATTTAGGTTACTTGGAAGAACTTTGCTGTAGGAATAAAAAAATGTTTTTAATTTAGGCCATTTTTAGGTTTTAGTGTAGGTTCCTAATCAACCCCTTTTTTACAATAAATATCTCTACTTTGTAATTTTTTCAAAAATAAATAATAAGTCATATTTTCAGTGGTGCTGTTTAAACAAAGTACTTTGTCCTGTTTTTTGGTACACTTGAACTTTTGTAAATATAAATGATTTACCTAAGCCAATTGGCTAAACTGTTCTTTGAAGATTCCATTTCAGAACAAATTTTTCAACTTGTATAACTTCTAGGTCAAATAGATGGGCAAGAAGTTACAGCAGCACCAGTGTTGATACCTAAACAACGACCCCCACCTCTTAGGCAACCATCACCTCCTCGTAGAGGACCACCGCCATCATGGAGACGTTCCCCTCCTCCTCGTGTACGTGCTCGTCGAAGGTAAGCAATATTTTCACTATTGAACTAGAATAGTTTACTATGGCTTCAGCTAGATAATTTTTCACAAATACCTTGTTTTTTTTTTAAATGCAAGCACTAAAGAACTTTTTCATGAAAAAATTAATGAGTTAAAGGATGTAATTGAGAATCTATTAACTCTTGCTACAGGCTCGGTCCTCATAACCATTTTGTGCTTATTATAGTTTTCATGCTATAACTTTTATTACAGTAAGCATATCTTCATGAAATTTTGCAGATTATCAGTAAACATTACAAGGCTTTTGTATACAAAATATCAATTTTTTTATTGTTTTAATATTTTTTAAGTAATGTTTTTCTCATCCGTTTTTTCTTTTCAAATGTTGACTATCCAACATGAAAAGTAATTTTGATTTTAAGATAAAAATACTTTTATGCATCAGAAAATTTCAAATTTCATATGTGAAATCTTTATAACCTCCAGATAATTATCAAACGTTTGTTAAGAAAAAACTTTATATTTTATCTGTTATTTTCACTGTTGTATCTCTGTATGGGTTTGGCTGATTTGACCAATCTTGTAACCACCATAAAACTTTGGGAAATAGATATAAATTATATTTTTTTCATTCTAGAATGACTACAGATTATAACATGAAAACACAAATGTTTACTCTAAATAGCTTAAGTCTCATAACATTGTACATATATATATATATATATATATGATTTTTATTTTATTGACCTTTCAACCATGCTTGACTAACGTTACAGAAGGTGCAATGACGTGGCACTTGCACTTATGTTACTGTATCCAAGAATATAAAACTGGCCTTTACAATGTGACCTGTCTTGGCTGTGTTCTAGTGGAGCAGTATTTTATAAAATAGTCACATTTCAGTTATTTTTCTAAAAATATAGAACAGTAAATAAAGAAGTATAGAAAACAATAATATCTTTTAGTTATGAACTTTGTACTCATTTGCTGCTTGCTGTAAGTTGCCAAGCCTAATCAAATTTTGCACATGAAGGATGTAAAACAAAAAATCGTATATTACTATATCAGGATCCCACTATAATTTATCAAGCTTAGTAACTAAGCTGTATTTGGGGTTAAAAAAATATGATTTTTTGAGCTCACTGCCTTACCTTACCATTTGGAATCTAGCATGAAAAAAAAAGAGCTTCCCATGCAAATACTTTACAAAGACTGAGAAAACCACTAGGGGGACATTCTGAGCTTTGGATTGTTTATACACGCATCATTGGGTGAAGCAGGTGTGCGTAAGCAAATATTTTCAAAAATTGAAGAGGTGGGCGGGGCCACCTTGGTTGATTCAATAAATATATTAATATCTCAGAAAATAGAAAAGATAGGAGGTGCTTATTTTATATTCTAGCTTGTCAATATCAGTAATTTGCGTATCTAATTTGTCTTAAGTTGTTTTAAAATGTTATAAATGGAGAAACTTCTTACAAGTATGAAAATACAGTTTTACTAATGGTTTTAAAAGTTAACACAGATTGTTGTCTGTGGCTACTAGTTATAATCCGAATAAATCATGGGCAGAATTTTTTGCAGATAGTCATTAGATATGTGTTTAAATCTGTTATGAGAACAAAGGATTATTTTTCTCAGGTAACCCTGGAAATATAAGCCACTGATCATCTACAAACTTGGGCCATCCATGGCCTAGTGATTAGCATGCTGTACTGTAAATCTTGAGGGTCTATGGTTCAGACCTTTTGCTGGAAAATCATGCTTTACACTGTGTGACAGTGAAATTTCCCTATCTGATTAGAGTAGCCCTAGATTTGGCAGTGGTTGATGTTCACTATCTGCCTCCTCTTTTTATTTTTTGTCAGCTCAAAATTAGGGACAGCTAATGCAGATAGCCTTTGTGTAGCATTGTGTAAATATCCAAAACAGTCTGCAAACTTACTTGTCCTAGTTGCATGGAGGAATATGTAAACTGGTTCCTTTTCATTTGCATTAACATCATGGGTATGATATTTTGTATTGAAACATACAGTTGTAGCAGTGCTTGCACTTGATTTCATGCACACACACACACACAAAATTATCCTTAATATCAAAACATGTTTAAACTTGACAGAATTGACCCTTTATATTGTTCAGTGTAACCAGTCACATGAATAGTGAAAAAAAAGGGTAAACTGTAAGGGCCCAAATTGCCCTGGGTTTGCAAGATACTTACTTGTAACTTTGGTGCTTTTCAGCTTTAGATGCTGATATTTCATTCAACAAGAATATACTAAAGTGTATGTTAATCTAATATATGTAGAAATTAACATAGAGTAGTTGTGAGAAT